TGGAACTTGTTTAACGAGTTTATAAGTTATGATTTATCTTCTTTTTGGATCTTATTCAAGCCACACTGCAGCCTTTGTTTAGAAAAATAGCTGCTGCTCTGCCAGGAATGGCAACTCATTCTTCCACGAAACAGGAAGATATGGTCGACGTTAATTTGAAGCCGTCTACAAATACATCCCAGACGGAGCAACAAGGAGGTGGATGCGCGTGCTAGAGAGTGTACATTAGGAGAAGGAAGGTAACGAAAAAAGTTGGAAACTTACCCAACACTTAAATGCGTCAAGGCGTCAAGCTAATTGTTGGGTAAAGTTAAATGTTTGGGTAAATTTCCAACTTTTTGAGTGTTTTGAGGTTGCAGCAGTATCAGCAAGAAAGATTCTAAAAATTCGAAATCGCAAGTGAACTGTTGAATTTCAATTCGGGCTGCTAAGTTCATAGGTTTAGAAATCGAGTTTTTCATTAGTGTGTTGTGTTTGAATTCTATGAACAACGGGTTTATTCCTTTACTTCTACTTACAAATTTTTTTGAAAGACTTATGTTTGCATATCTGCTCATTCTATTTCACTCTTCGATGGGGTTCTTATCACATTTTCTTCACAATACTATTTTGTTATTAGTCATCCTTGCAGGGTGATCGATCTCCTCGCTAACACTGGATTATATGAGTCCATGTTAGTTCAAGTTAGCGATGCTTTTAGCTATTGAAACTTTGCCACCGAGCAGAATGGCACTCGTAATGCTCATGCTCTAATGGTTTAAAGTCTTCTCACTTTGCTAACCACTGCTGCAGGAATCACTTTTGCACGTAAGTAATGGGAAATGTATGGACTCAATATGATAACAAATTTTCTTACACGTCTCTTTTCTCTCGTAGAATCAACCTTGTTTAGTTTACGGAACAAACTTACCCCAAAAGAAGCGAGTGATTTGTGTTGAGCCTTTTCAAGATAGTATGTCGAAAGAAAATATAAAGGGCACTCAAACGCCCCCACCTATTTGTATCAACTCATTCCCTACATAGACATTCCCTACATAGACAAAGTTAAGGGACAATGCGAAAACTGCCAT